AAACTCAGGTGCTGTTTGGAATTGATCAAAAGGGAACAACTCCCTGTGAGGTAAGCCTAGACTGCAAAACTTCAGAGGATAGTTTAAAACCAAAAATTCTAATAAAGCAAGAGGCACTGAGTAGATGATGAAATTTAAATATGCATTTAACTGTAAGCAACTGTTTATCATCATGAGGCAATCTTTGATATACAGATGAAGAATCTGTCTTCTCCCAAAGGGGCTTGGAGAGCTGTAAATCACATAACATGTTGTCAATCTGTAGAAAGAAAATAGTATTCAGAAATCTCAGGGTCTCCAGGGTGATTGTTTACTTTTAATAGTAAAAATTTGAAGAATTTGCATTTCAAGAAAAATATTTAATGCATTTGTGTGGTTCAAGCCTTCAGAAAGATAGTACAACAGTGAGTGTATTTGTATAAAGCTAAAATCTATGCAAATTAATGTTTTTAAACCAAATTTTTAGCATAGTCTTAAACTAGAAAAGAAAACTCCATGATAAGAACCGGTCATAGGCCAAAAAATTAAAAAAAGGCAAAGACCTTTCTAGAAAGTTGGCAGTCAACTCAGTTGTAATTTTTTATTTTTTCATTTTGGTATCATTAATATGTAATTACACAAACACCACTGTGATTACTAGATTCCCCCCATTATCAAGTCCCCACCACATACCCCATTATAGTCACTGTCCATGAGCATAGTAAGATGCTATAGAGTCACTATTTGTCATCTCAGTGCTATATTGCCTTCCCCGGGTCCCCCCTACATTATGTGTGCTAATTATAATGCCCTTTATTCCCCTTATCCCTCCCTTCTCACCCATCCTCCCTAGTTCCTTTCGCTTTGGTAACTGTTAGTCTATTTTTGGGCTCTGTGAGTCTGCTGCTGTTTTGTCCCTTCAGTTTTTTCTTTGTTCTTCTACTCCACAGATGAGTGAAATCATTTGGTACTTGTCTTTCTCCACCTGGCTTATTTCACTGAGCATAATACCCTCTAGCTCCATCCATGTTGTTGCAAATAGTAGATGTGGTGAAGGTTACTCAACTGAAATATATTACAATTAGAAAGTGTTCTTTATCAATTCATTCAAAAAAAACCACAGATAATCCAAAATTTTATAAATCCTTAATAAGTTAGAGCTTAACTTTTGGGCTACTACTAAAGGAATAATATAGGATGTTTGCCCAACATTTGCTTATTAATTTACCTGCTTAGTCTGTTTTTTTCCAGAATTTCTAGTTGGATTTTGGAAGTTTGAATTTAGATAGCATTAAGATACCTTGTATTTATCCAAAGGCCTCATGAAGTTGGACTATGTACTGAGAATAAAAATATTGTGTGTGTGTGTGTGTAAATAGGTAAATTTTATAAATCCTTAATAAGTTAGAGCTTAACTTTTGGGCTACTACTAAAGGAATAATATAGGATGTTTGACCCATGAGTAAAAGCCTCAAGAGCCTGTGTTTATGTGAATGTCTCTTGTTAATCACATGGCATTCTAAGATACTGATTTCTTCTTCATCTCCCATAGGCAAATTAAAGATTTTATAACTGATACTGAAGAAAAAGGAATTCCTAACTGGGAGAATCATTTAGCAAGCACCTGCAAAATTTAGTACAGCAATACCTACTATGATATATGTATTTAGCTGCTTATGGGCATTTCGTATTGTAAAAAAGAGGAGCTTGTAGCTCATAAAAGGGGAACAATGCAAATTTAAAAAGTTATACCAAGCTTTACCCAGGAGACCAAGGTCACCATCAAATGAGAAATGACATCGATTGTATGCACCCTTAATGTGGTATGAAAAAAATGATACTTTATTTCTGTGCTCTCCTCCAAAAACCCCATAACACCAGCCTAATCATTTATTTGAGCAAAACAGCAGACAAATTCCAGGAGAGGAACATTCTCCAAAATACCTGACCGATACTCCTGGCAATTCTCAAGGGCATCAAAAACAAGGAAAGTCTGAGAAACTGTCACAGCCAGAAGTCGCCCAAGGAAACATGACAAGTGAATGTACTGTGGTACCGTGGATGGGATTCTGGAACAGAGAAAGGACATTGGGTAAAAACTAAGGAAATCTGAATAGATGGATTTTTGTTAATGAGATGTATCAATATTGGTTCATCAAGTATAACAAATATGCCATATTTATGTAAAATATTAATAATGGGGGAAGCTGAGAGTAAGGTATGTGGGAACTCTCTGTACTATCTGTTCAATTTTTCTGTAAATAATTCTAAACAATAAAGTCTATTTTTTTAAAGAAAACCATCCAAAGACAGAATTTGTTCACATTTAAGGAAACTTTAAAATACAAAGGATCTAATTTACTCAAAAATTGTAAAAGGAGGCAGAATTCTTCTGGCTAGAACTTATAAATTTTGTACTAATAACTATGCAGTTATTGCAGACAGACCAGATAGTGGAAAAGTGAAAATCTATGCAGCCCTTCCTCATATCCCCTAGGAGTTGACTTGCCATCAAGACAAACCTCACAACCAGAGCCCACTGAGAATTCAGATGTGGCAAAAATCATAGAATTGAGAAATATGATCCCAATGAACCAAAACTGCAGTATTCACAATTTTTTACTCAGAATCTGTGATACTTGTAAAAGAAAATTTGGCATGTAAGAGTGAAAGCTTCATAATTAATTTGAAATGTATAACTTAAGACTTATGACTTAAGGTTGAAATCTTAACAAAGTTTATGGTTAGCAGCAACACATCCAATAATCTCTATGCTCACTCTATTTAATTTATTAGACTGGTAACAATTATTTAGCACTTAGGAAAGATACTTATAAAAAAGTACTAGAATTTTAATTAATTAATTAATTGTAACTTTTTAAAATTAAGGTATCATTGATATATACTCTTATGAAGGCTTCACATGAAAAACAATGTGGTTACTACACTCACCCATATTACTGAGCCCCTCCCATACCCCAATGCAGTCATTATCCATCAGTGTAGAAAGATGCCACAGTCACTACTTGTTTTTTCTGTGCTACACTGAAAAAGAACTAGAATTTTAACTGTAGTTTAAGATCTTGTAAGTTTGTAAATAAGGTCAAAGGCCCCTTAAAAGTAAATGATAAAAATTTAGCAGATTTACAACTTCCAATGGGCTAATAGGTCTATAAACTAAGCTGAGAAGATGAGGAGAGTGCCCCCAGGCCTCTGAGTGGAGCCTCCTGAAGCCTCCAGGAGCTGTGTGGAGACTCAGGGCTTGTCACAGGAAACCCTTGTCTCCACCCACTGCAGGACCCACTGCCCCACTTCCCACCATGACCTGCCTCTCATCTTTTATTGATGGAAGAAATTTTGTCTCCTGGGCAGGCATATTAATAGCCTGATGGGTATACAGGCACACATAAGGTGACCATATATTGTCCAAACCAGGACATATTTGAAAGGGAAAGGGGGCACTATTAACAATTATTCTGGGGCAGTAGACTTAAACCAGGATTGTCCTGGGTTTGTAAATACATGAGGCAAAGAAAGTGAAGAATTTGGCTTCCACCATCAGACAGTACTAAGTATCAACAAAATGTTAGATCCTTCAGTGTTTCACTGGGAAGTACTAAGCACCCTTTCAAACGGGTTATCAGCAACAGGGTCAAATAGCCTTTTATGAACTCAGGACTATCAGGTCTACCCTCCCTGTGTATCACGAAGTTTCTTCTTTACACCCAGGGTACCTAAGTCAACCTGTAATTCTGAGTGAAAATCGAGGGTGATGGTTGCCTAACTGCTGGCTGGTTCAGGTTTCTCCCAGTGCAGATTCTTAAACATCATCTTGCAAGATCATCTTATTTTAAAGTCTGAGTCTGTGGTCTTTTATTTTTCCACAACTACACACAGCACAAAAGCATCCAGTGTCTTCCTGGGGATCTACTTTTTTCTCTATAAACCTCCCGATACCATGCACAGCCCACAAATATGTGGCCATGTCAATTTTCACTCAAACACTTACAATGGATTTCTTTTACAAATTCTGGTGTGTTCCCACATCATGGGAAACCAGGGTAACACAAACACTTTAGCCCAGAACCATCCCAGGGACTCAGCATCCTTCACAAGCAAGGTAATGGGGTTTTCACTTGACTCAGGGACCCCACCAGAGCTCGTATTCACAGCTCATCTCATTATAGCCAAGTGCTCTCTACCTTTAACAGCAGTGCCCTGGGTATTTCTTCCAGCCATGGCCTGTCCTGTTTGCAGGAGGCTTGCTCACTTGGTGATTGCTGGGAGTCCCTACTGCTAACTACTTCCCTATACTACCTAGAGTTTTCTCTCTAGGGTTTTGTTTGTTGGGACTTAAGATGAAAGTACAAATGACCCCATAGGACTGGAAGCAACAATTTCACTCACTTTTCAGTGTGAATGTGTTTGATCAGATAATCCCTCCCAACATCTGGCTGAGCAGTGGAAGGAAGGTAGTCTTCACGCAGGTAGAAGGGGTCTGAGGACCCAGGGGGGCGAGGCAAAAGGTGGGGCTCTGCAGAACCAGCGAGCAGCCTCAAAGTCCCTTAAAGACACACTGGCCTTGGGCTAGCCCTTTGTTGTGTGATTTTATGAGGTCATAGTTCCAACAACCAGGAGTTCCACTTGTGTGAAGAGGGGGCTCATGGTCTCCAAAATGGTAGCCAAGAGACCAGGCAACAAAGGGTAGGTGGGGAAAGCCTAGCCCCATCTTTTGTATCGAATCCTTCTCCCTAATTATCCATTTCAGATAACTCAGCAACCATCTCCTGGGCAGACTGGCACCAACACCCTTGGCATTGTCCCCGTCAGGAATGGGGACTGACTGGTAGCTGTTGGGCCACTGGGGGTCCCCTCTCAGCCTCTTTTCACCTACAGACTCTGCTCAGGCGCCCCAGCGAGCTACTGCCTGCCACCCAGCATGAGCAAAGAACCAAAGTCATTTCCTCACCCCAGCCACTGTGGAAGAGGCCCCCTGCCAGACTCCCGCTTCTTTGAAGAAACACAACTGAGACCAAGTGAGAAGTAGCTACAGTTTAATACAAACCTGCACCAGAACACAACGTGTCGGGCTGTTTTGTTTTTGCCTCCAATGGGTGGCCAAAGCACAGGACCTGTGTCGTCTTGGGGTTGACACAACTTAGCACCATGACATTTACAGAGGCGCGAGGAAGTCACTTGGGTGCTGGAGGCTCCATTCTGACCCCAGGCTGTGCCTGCCACCTGGGCAGCTGGAGGGGAGTTGGGTTTTCGCGTGGTTCTGTGGTTTCTGGATCAGTATTGGAAAAGCCCTCATCACGGCATTGGCTTGACAGACCTACTGTGGACTCCTAGCACGACACACACGCACACCCACACGCACACACAGTAGCACAATTTTCTGGCAACTTAACCCCACAAACCTAGAGAGCAGCTAAGGCAAGAACAACAGTATTTATTCAGCAAGTACAAGACCAGTTTGAGAGCTGCATTCAGTGCAACCAGAGATCCTTTTCACTCCAGCCAGGAGCCAGAGGGGCTGGTGATGGAGCTGGCTGGAGCTCTGCATAGGGGCAAGGAGTGGGTGACTATCCTTTTAACCTCCTTCTGACTTTCATCTAGAAGCTCCTGGGCAAGGGTGGGGTCTGTGTAAGGATCGGGGATGGATGAATGGAAGGCCTATGGTGGACCACTCCAAGATGTGGTCTTCCAGAGCCAAGGACCATGCATCTCTCAGGCGGAGGCACTCAGAGAAGGTAAAGCTTTCCTAGCCCAAGCAGTGATGCTCTGCCCACTGGACATCACCACTGCCCGGCTCTTTGGCATCTGCCCAAGGCCCATGGCCCAGCAAGGGCTGAAAGGGATGAAGATGATGTACATTGTACCAAGGGGTCAGTGTCATAATTTAGTAGGCCCAGACTCCTACCTACTGTCCCCTCCATATGCCTCTGCTCCCTGGGTTACCATCTCTGACCTTTTTGACCCAAAGTGAGGAAGATGAGCGTGAAGGGAGAAGTGGGGATGTGGAGGCAGCTAAAGCACATGGGAAGCCCCCAATGTTTAGCTAGTTCTGGCTCAAACAGCGAATATGCATCAGTTTGTTTACAAGAAAAATCTATCTACCTGTGCAAAACAAAGCAGAATACCTAGCAGGGGAGTAAGTTCTCTAGTTGGCTAAACTCCTGGGTGGGAGCTATAAGAGATGTCACCCCACTCTTCCCTCCTCAGCTAGGACAGACAGCCAAGCTTTTAAGGGTAGTCATGGGCACTTCTGGGTCAGAAGGCCTAACCTTTCTGGGTCTCTCTGAAATGGGGAGAATGATATGCTCTGTTGTCATGAGGAGCATTCAGAGTTCATATATGGAAGTGCTTTGCAAAATTGAAAAGCACTACAGAAACATGCCTCTGCATGTTTGCCCATTAGCCCAGAGTCCAGGAGCCTCGTGCAAGCCTGGGGTGCTCAGACCAAATGTGCAACGTGAAATCACTCCCCAAGTGGAGGACAAGGTTTAACAAAAGCAGGTGGTTGAGTCACTGCCCAGCTCACTCAAGGTGGATGGAGATCCCCCAGCTTCTAGTGTTTCCACGGAAACCTGGAGTTCTATGGGAGGGCCCAACTGGCTGTGGGGGGACCTGGAGGCCCCAGCAGGGGAGAGTGAGGTGCTGACCACAGGAGCCCACAGCCCCTGTGCAGCGAGCTGGGTTCTCCTGCCAGGTCCTGTGGGCCTGGTCTCCTTTCCTGGCATTTAGCCAGTTTGTGACTCCTAATCCCAGTCCTCTCTTGCCAGGGGTGAGGCCTCTTGCCAGGCACACAGGTGGAGCAGGTGGGCCACCATCCAGCAGGGGGAGTTTCCAGGAAGCTGGGCGTGTGGGGCGTGTGTGCTGGTAGTGACCAGTGCCAGAGATGGGACACGCCACTCTGCCCCCCAAAGGTCTCCAGTACCAGCATACTGGGCACCCTCTCAGAATGCAGGAAATGAGACCAGGATGGGAGGCAACAGGAAGAGGGCCTGGGACAGGGCCTTCGGCAGCCTGGAAGACTCCAGGTAGGGAGAGGAAGGGCCTGTGAGTCCAGCACCGCAGGCCCCGTCCATGTCCCAGGCTGTCTGGTCGGTGTCGAGTGCAGCATCTCTTGAGGTCCACATCTATTCCTGTTTCTATGCTATGCTAGTGACACGAAGCACCGATATTTTTCACAGGATGCACAAACAAGTCAAATCAAACCACTGGGCAAACCAAACGTGCAAAACAAAGTCATGTACACGCGCCTGGCACCAGCCTTGCGCCCCGCCAGCTAGCCCTTCTGGGCCTGTGAATCCCAGAGGCTGGAGTGGAGAAAGGAAGAAGCTGGCAAAGGGTGCAGAGTATCCCAACCACACCCACACCCAGGGGGTCCCAACCACACCCACACAAGGGCAGGCAGGAAAAAGCGGAACATCCCAGGTAAGGCTGGGAAGCTAACACCTGTCTCACTGGGGAAAGTGACCACAGGGCCTAAAGGCATGGGAGAGGGAATCTTTTTTTAAAAAACACAGCTGCTAAAGTGCTCTGGACAACTGGCAGGTCAGCCAGGGGACAGGGCACTAAAGTCTGGGCTTTCCCAAAGCCAGCACAGGGAGGCAGGTGTGAGGGGAGGGGCTGGGCCAGGCTCTATGCAGTGGGCTCTGTGCATGGTGTGGGTTTCCTGGGCCCCAGAAACGCCTGCCCAGGCCAGGGCAGGAAAGGACTGCAGCAGGAGGAACACATTTCAAAGTGCCTGTTCGGGTTGGTTGGCTCAAAGCACAGTAAATCACATGTCAGACACGGGGAGGGCTCCCCGTTCCATGGCCCCCTCAGGTGTGCTGCCCAGCCCAGCCTCTCCCGCCCCCTGCAGCTGTGGCCGGAGGGTATGTGGGCTGGTGGCAGCAGTGTATCCTCACTTGGGGGGCTGGTCGGTGCCTTTACCAAATGCCGCTTGACCTGCCTCCAGGGGGAGCAAGGATCCGCGCTGAAGCTCGCTTTGGAACATGGTCATCTATTTGAGAACCTGTTGGGAAGGAAGCAGAGGGTGAGCTCGGCTGCTCTTGCCTGGTAATAAAAGCATGGCCTCTCTCTCTTGGTGGAAGCTGTTAGGCCCTTGTTGTGTAAGATCTCACTTAATCCTCACAACAACTTCATCCCATTTTACAAATAAGAAAACTGAGGCTCAGGGCCATTAAGTAACTCACGCAATCTTACATAGCGTGTAAGTAGTATAGAGCCCACATTTGAAACCAGCTCTTCCTGATTCAGAACTCCACTGTTTTGGAAAATCAAAGAACCATACCCCAAAAGCCCCCACATCTTGAAACCCCAAGACTTAGAGTAAGAGGCCTGGTGCCCAGGGAGTGTAGTGGCACACTCCTCAGCCAGCCTCATCTAGATCAGACAAGGCTGGGAGCAGAGGGAAAACAGGAGGTTGCCTGATGTTTGCTGAGTCTGAGAGGGGTTCTGCCCAGAGATTTGGGGGGCAGGAGGGTAAGAGCCACTGGCCAGCAGGGGCCAGGCTCTGAGGGCCTTGCCTCTTCTTGTGGCACTGGCTGCTGCAGGAGGGGTTGTGCCCAGGCAGCATGTGAACCTCCACCTCCTGGATTGGTGTGGCCTGGGTGCCCACAGACACTCCACACCTCGGATCCCTTTCTGACTTCCTGCACTTACATCTCCTCTGGTGGGGTGGCAGTGGCCCGGGAAGCAGTGATCTAGGCAACTAGACTGGCTTTTGAGAATGGAGTGGTGGGGGGGACTCCTCCCCACAGGCTCTTGCTCTGCCAACAGGAGCCACCTGTCTTCTGCCCAGAGCTGCTCTCAGCACTCAGCTGGGCTCAGGGGAAGCTCTGCAGGGAGCCCTGCTCCCTTGAACCCTTGACATCCAGCTGAGCCCTCTGCCTCTCACATCAGGACGGTTTATGAACTGCTCCCATCTCCCCCAGTAAATGCCCTGCTCCGTGTGGAAGGATCTGAATCTTGATCCTCTGGCTGTTCCAGCCCTTGCTGAGCTGCATACAGGGAGACGCAGCTCCACCCCCTTTGAGTAGAGGTCAGTTTCCATCAAAGCTGCCTGCAGGATCAGGGCACCTTATGCCTCTGCTCTTTCTCCACTGAGGGTCACCATGTATGAGCAATGACCCCTACCTTTAACTACGCCAAACACCTGGGGTATGCGTGGTTGACAACATGCCCTGAGCACAGACACACCCCATATATTATACCCTGTATTACATATAATACAATTCCTGGTGAAAAAGAAGGTAATGGAGGGGCAAATGTGGGGATAAGGGAGGGAGGGCAGGGAATAGGGAGACATCAGGTCTTTCAGAGAGGCTGGGCAGGAGCAGGCATGGGGATAGGATGAGACCATATTGGGGGTGCACCGCATGCAGCAGACAGGGTTAACTCTCTGAGCTTGGGTGTCTCTGGGGGTGCCCCCTATGCCCCCTATACACAGAGCCCTTAAGATGTTCCCAGGATTGAAGATAGCTGAACTTAGAAACCATGGGGAGAGCCCCAGACTGGCCATGGCTGTTAAGAGTGCCTGGTGCCTAGGGACCGGAAGAGCCCTCCTGCCCTGGCTAATATTTGTTTGTCTCTACTCCGGGACCCAGCAGTGGTCACAGGACAGAGGTGGGAAGGGAGGGAGAAGATGCAGAGGAAAAGCAGCCCAAGCCCACTGCCTGGACAGGCCTTTCCTCCTGGCCCCTCTGCCCCCTCCTGCCACCGCACTGTGGTGGACACACAGGTGCCCATCTGAGGGGCCCTTGCTCTTACCAGAGAGGCTGAAGCTGGATTCATGAAGGTCCCTCATGCCTCCATGTCGGGTAACAGGCCGGGTAGGAGTGTCTGCGAGTGGCGTTCCCATCTCTTTTTTCCCAGGATGCACAACAATGGCCACATCCCCCAGGTAGGGTGTGCGGTCCACTCCCTTCACCTTTAAGGTCTAGTGAAGGATGGACAAGGAGAGAAAGGGAAACAAGGACACCATCAGAGCCCAGACATCATCGCCACTAGAGCCTCCTGGATGGCTGACGGGACCTCAGACACTGCCACTTGGCTTGGGACCCAAATTACAGCATGTGACAAAGGCTTCTTACAACTCGAGCTCAGGCAGCGAATTCTTTTATCTCTTAAACAGAGTGTGTGTGTGTATGTGCAAGCACATCTATGTGGACATACACAGGAGAGAGACTCACTTGTTCTGCTCAGTGTTGGTGGAATCCTTTCTAAGGTAGCAGGTAGAATTTTGAGGTATTCAGACTTAGAGAACACCCCTCACATGGGACAACATTATCCCCTCGCTTGCCAAGCTCCCAAGAGGTCATGCCTTTTACTGTGATCTGACAACTTTGTGGGGATAGAGGCAAAATTTGGCCAATTTGGGGATGAGAATTCCCCAGTAGCAATACTGGTTAATTCTGTACTCACAAAGTGTAAGTTAAGATATAATTCGTATCCAGACAACCTGGGTTCCAGTTCCATCTGATACTTATGAAGCTGTGTGACTTTGTATAAGTTGCCTAACCTCTCTGTGCCTGTTTCCTTATTTGTAAAGTTAGGATAATAGTACCTATTAATACTATATATTGAGTTATTATGAGATCAAATGCATTAATATATGTAAAGCTCTCAGAACTGCTCTGGCACATGGCAACTGACATACTGAGTACCAGCAGCTCTTACTGCAGAGGTCTTTTTCAAGGGCCTCATCCTGTCTAAAGGTGAAGAGGAAGCATTGTGTTGGGAGTGTATGCATAAAGTCTGAAGGAGCAGCACAGACTATCTACAAGCCAGGCATTTGTCAGGAACATAACCTCAAGCTGCCTGCTGCTCAGTGCTTACAGAAAATCTTGTTGAGAGAAATGATACAGGTGAGCTCTTGAAGGATCTTCTGACTACATGTTTCTTTATATGTAATCCCTACATATTCTCCAACAGCAGATCTGTAGTTTAGCTCAACTCTCAGAGTGCAAACCTGGTCTGAACCACTTTGGTCTTCACCAGGTTGCACTTTGGCATTGCAGCTGGAGCCCAGGGTCCCGGTGGTGAAGTGGGAGCACAGGCCTTGGATGGATCCTGAGTGAGTGACCTCAGCAGGCCACAGCTCCTGGCAGCCCCTTGCTGCTGCCTGTACAGTGGGCCCTCCACCAGAGCTGCTTTCTTCCCCAAGGCCCATGCTCTTTAGGGACTGATGATTTATAATTTTTGGAAAATGAGTTTTTTTGATAGTTTTATTTTTCTGCATACTTGCATTCTTTTACATAAAGACTGTAACAGCAGAGCAGATAGCACTGGCCTTTTCTTGAGGACCTTAGGTCATCAGGCCTCCTATAAAGGGATGTAGGGTTGGATTTACATCAGTCTGGCACCTGGAGCTCCTCCACCGTGGCTGGCCCGAGGAGCGACCTGCAGTGAACTGACATCGATCTTACATTTTTGTGAGGCTGGCTTTCAGAGGGCTTGAAACACTTTCTCTGCTTCTCTTGACCTTAATTCCTGACTAAAACATCTTTTTTGGGAAGGCCACAGAACTCTTGTCAGATATCCTTGTTTTTCAAATCGAGATATAATTCATATACCATAAAATTCACCATTTTTAAGTATACATTTCAATGGTGTCTAGTATATTCATGACATTGTGTGACCACCACCCTGTCTAGTTCCAGTACATTTTCATCATCTCAAGGAGAAACCCCGTACTCACCAGCAGGCTTCCACTCTACCCTCCCTCAGCACTAAGCAACCAGTAATAGATTTTTGTCTGTGGATTTGCTGCTTCTGGACATTTCACACAATGGAATTATATACTATGTGGTCTTTTGTGACCAGGTTCTTTCACTAAGCATAGTGTTTTTAAGGTTCATGTACACTGTATATAGCATATATTGGTACTCCATTCATTTTTATGGCTGAATAATATTCCATTGTATGGATATACCATTTATCTATTCAACAGTTGATGGACATTTGTGTTGTTTCCACTTTCTGGCCTTTATAGGAATAGTGCTCCTATGAACACTCATGTACAGCTTTTTGTGTAGACATTTATTTTTACTCCTCTGGAGTATATATCCAAGAGTAGAACTGCTGAGTCATTTGGGAATTCTGTATCTTAACTTTTTGGGAACTGCAAAACTGTTTTCCAAAGTGGCTGTTCCATTTGACATTCCTTCCAGCAATGAATGAGGGTTCCAGTTTCTCCACGAGCTCACTAACACTTGTTTTTCATTTTCTTTTTTAAAATTATAGCCACCCTTTATCAGATATTCTTGTGTATGAAGGCACTGCTCTTACAGTTCTTCCTGGCATATCCAGAGGCAGGGCTGAGGCCTCCTGCCATTGCCCACATCTAGGCGGCATCCTGGACACAGGACCCTTTACCTGCCTGAGTGACCCCGAGTTTGCTTTTGGACTGAACACTGCAATAACTAACGTCATATTTTTTTTCAGATGATCTGCTCTACAGAAGACCTGGTTTTGGATTTTTTTGGGAAAGAAGAGTCGTTAGTTATTCTGAGAGCCCTGGGCCCTCACATGTGAAAGCTTGCCAGCAGAGTTCATCTTTTGGTATAAATATGCCGTGTTAGATGGTTTCTTTTCAAATATCAGTTTTATGCACCTTTAGTTCATCAAGACTGGGAAGGAGCCAAAGAATGACAGTACCTCAAGAGCCCCTGAGCCTCTGAATCAAAAGAAACTCAGTGGCCATAGACATGCTTAGGCTTCCATCTTGTGCCTTCAGGAACTCAGGGCTCCCAGGTGGCCTGATCATTTAAGATTCCACGTGGTAATAATCAAAGGCGGGGCATGGAAACCAGCATCACCTGACTCTAGATTTCCTCTTGAACCATCACTCGCTCCCCTCGCAGCACAGGGTGAGATGAGGTCTTGGTTAGGGGCCTGGAGAGTGCACGAAGGCCAGCCTGCCCACCACCTCACCTGATGGAACCCATCTTTCTTCTGGCCCTTGGGTCATCCCAGGGCTGGGGGTTCACAGGCCAGCAGGAGCAGAGGGTGTTCAGAGAACAGCTGGGGAGGGCAAAGGCTGAAGCAGCTACTTGTGAAAGCCTTGGGTGCTCCAGGAGGGGACAGGGGTGGGAACAAGGAGAGGAGGCCTGAGGAACTGAGAAAAGGAGCTTGACTTCTGCATAAAGGATTAGAGAACCAAGACAATAAGAAGGCTTGGCTGAACAGAGGTCGTGTGACCACTTAATGGCAAGTGTGCCAGGCCAGAAACAGCTCCTAAAAAGGCCTATTCCTGAGATATTACTAAACAGATTTCTAGAGCTCAGTAATATGGCAGCTGAGTCTATTTTCAAAGACCTTTAAATCTCTGGTCCCCTGCTGGAAGCCAGAGCCTAGCAGGAGTGGGGAGCGTGAGACCTGGGCATGGGAAGTTGGTGCTGATTTGGGACAGTGATCACAATATGGGGCATAGGGGTAGAGAGGTCACCTGGAAAGGGCCCAGAAAATGTCCCCAGTGAACTGCTGCTAGCTAAAAACCTCACAGCCTACATTATTGGGTCTCTGCCCTGGACAGAAAAACAGCCACTGACAAGGCTAGACTAGGCAGTTTTCCTGATTTACCCAAAATCCTTCAGTGTTACTCCCTCCAGAACACAGATTAAGCACCTGCTGTGTACAGAGGACTAGGATGTACTAGGCAAAAGGAACAAAAGAATAGGACACAGAAGATGGGTGAGAAAATTAAAAAAAAAACAATCCAAAGGATTGACATCCCTTAAGCGTGCATGATCACAACAGCGGCAGCCCGGTCTGGGCAGGAGGGAGCTCTTAGCCCACAGAGGACCCCAAGGCCCTCGGCCATGAGCTAAGAACATCTGCCTTTTCCAGACAGCATCTGTAAATAGCTATGCAGGAGCATTTTGAAGCCATAATAATATTGCATTTTTGTTGGAGAGGGGGCATAGGAAATAGTAGGATGTGTTCAGTTGTCAGTTTGTCAGATTTACTCCTTCTGGTGAGGTGGGAGCCCCACCCAGAGTCCAAGGCCGCACTTCCCAGCACCTGGAGTTGTCAGTGAGGATTCAGGCCATATTCTCTAGGGCAACTCTCATAGGTAAGGTTGGACAATCAATCCCCAAGCAATGAGGCAATAGCCAGCCTTCTTGGGGGTGACTGTGTCTCCCCAGGGGACAGGAGCCCCTGAGGATGAGGTGGAGCTGAAAGCTTTAGTGAGCATCTAGGGTGCTTATGGAACCCAAGGCTGGGTGGGACCCTGAGGCCCAGACTATTCCAGACCTGGCCTGATCACTTCAGCACTGGGGGCCCGGACTTAGCAAAACCCACCCCGACTATAGTCACAGGGAGTGGGGTGGTTTCAGTGAACGAGTGACTCCAGGGCAAGTATGGTAACCCAGGCCGAGCTAGGAATCCCCTGCCCTGCAGGGCGGCGAGAAGACCCCTGGAGACCAGTCACCGGGGACAGTGAGACCCCTCAGTATTCCCTCTGCTTGAGGGGAATTTTTAACACATTTTCCTTTGTTATAGGTGCTTTTACTATTTTGATTGCTCCCAAAGTGACCACTCCAGGGAATAGGATTTGGTGGGAAAAAAGTGAGAATGTCTGAGACTTCAAACAGTCACATGAGGTGTCCCCAACTCGGGCTTCAGCCTCTTCCCATGCTTCCTCTTCTGCCGCCCTCATCTTACCTTTTCTCTCTGGACCAACTTTTTGTAGACAGTGTCGGGGAAGGACCTCAGGGGACAGAACTTGCCGGTGCCCTCAGCGCACATGAAGACGCCGTTCTCATACACGACGCGCCCCCGGCTGATGGTGACCAGCGGGACGCCATGGCAGCGCATGTTCTCATACAGGTTGAAGTCTCCTCCCTGCACCTGGGTGCTGGCTGAGATGGTCCTGGAGGGGGGCAGTGGAAGGAGAGAAAGATAAGGATGTCACAGCTCAGAGGGAAGGACTGATGCTCAGTGGGAAGGGATGATCCCCACAGTCTGGCTGTGGTGGCCTGAGCTGTGTCCCCCCCCAGATTTATATGCTGAAGTCCTCAGCCCCAGTATCTTACAATGTGTACCTGGAGATAGGTAATTATAGTAAAATGAGGTCATATGGGTGTGTCATAATCCAATCTGACTGTGCCCTTGTAAGAAGAGGAAACTGAAGCACAGGGCATGTCCACACACAGAGGCAAGACCACATGAAGGCAGAGAGAGGAGACAGCCATCTGTAAGCCAAAGTGTGAGGTATCAGAATAAAATCAACCCTGCTGACACCTTGATCTTGGACTTTCAGCCTCTAGAATTGTGAGAAAATAAATCTCAGTTGTTTAAACCACACAGTCTGTGGTATTTTGTTACAGCAGCCTTAGCAAACGAACACAGTGAGCTAAACTCATGGGGCCTTTCTGCCAACAACAACCAGTTAACAGCCATGATGCTAGAGCAGCAGGCACCCACCCCAGGCACCAGGATGCAGAGCATGGGCCCTAATGGAGAAGACAGTGTGGCAGTCTGGGCATGGGGATGGGTAGTGGTGACACATCAGGTCAGCTTTCTTTGCAATCCAACCTTTTATCTTCAAAATCCCAGCGTATTTTTATCTTGTTCATTGCTAGCTTGTACACCTAGAAAAGGGCCTGGTGAACAGTGGCATTTAACCAGTATTTGTTGAGTGAATGGAACTTAATATTAAAAACTATGCCCACCCTGCCAGCCCAAATCTCTGAGCAAAAATGATGCTCTGTATCCTGTGGCATGGCAACTCCTGCCACACTTCATTTATTCTCAGCTCTGCTCAGTAATGCTGGGGTGTCAAGCGCCGTGCCCTCAAGAACACCCACGCTCTCCATGAGAGAGGCAGAGGGCTGTGGAGGAGCCTGGAAAGGAGTGTCAGGGTATCTGTCCCGTGCAGCCACTTTTTAGCTATGTGGTATGAGGAGTCCCTCTGCTCTCTGCTCTTAGTTTCTTCAATATAGTAAAATGAGAATAAGGACTCCAGGCTTGAGTGCTTCTTGGGGCTGTGTGAAAATCAAATGAGATAACTGACAGGAAGCAGCTTGGAGACACGGTGAAATGCTGCGCAGGTGAAGCTGCACCGCAGTAGCTCTCAAAATGGTCCTGTTCACCATTGTGCTCCTAGGGCCCGGACTACGGCAGGCCCTTAGATATTTGTTGAATTGAGTACACCTCAGGGTCACACTTCTCTCTGCTAGAAGTAGTGCAAAGATGATATGCCTTTGGAGTTCTGTAATACAAGTCCCTTCAAATCCCAAGTCCCTCTAGCCCCGGAGACTGGCAGCAGGTTTTACTTTGTGGCTTCTGGGTCCCACACCACCACGTCAGCATCAGCTCCAGGGATGATGCGGCCTTTGCGGGGATACAGGTTGAGAATCTTCGCTGCATTGGAACTGGTAACAGCCACAAAACGGTTCTCATCCATCTTTCCTCCAACCTGAAGCATTGCAAAGTATCAAGTCAACCAGGCGCTGTGTGTGCGTCTCCAACCCCCAGTTACCCTTGACTCTGGCCTGTGACCTTACAGCTGGCTGGAAGAATGGTGCTAAGAAGGACCATCCCCCGGGTACCATCTCAGATGAGCCAGCCTGCTCTTGCTCACTCTTTCCTCCTTCATCCAGCAACAGTGGTGAGCAGGCCCTTGTTCCAAACAGGTTTCCTACCCTGTGGAAATCTACCTCCTGCTTGTAAAGCCATCTCTACTCCTGTGCCCATTATGGACAAGTCAGGTGCTTCCCCTTATTCACAAAGGGACATAAATTCTGTGCTTTGGAAATGCATGGGCTCTTCCAGGGAATTCCTGAGCCACCTCGTGGGCCTTCCCTGAGCTGAAGGCTTAAAGTCATGAGGACCTCAAATCAACTTGGGCTCATACTCTGTGTGCCTATCTAATCTGTGACAGGTCAAAACTAAAAATGCTTATTCTTCATGGGGAAAACAGATGGTACTTCAGATGAAGTCCTCATTGCTATCTTTTTCATAAAGCAATCAGACAAAATATATCAAGAGCCTTAAAAATGTTCATGTCCTTCGGCCCAGAAATCCACTTCTAGGAATCTATCCAAAGGAAATAATTAGAAATGCTGACATACTCATCAACAAAGAGGTTCTCTGCTGCATAATTTTCAGGTGCAAACATCTGAAACAGCTGGAAGTTCCAAACATCAGGGGAGGATTAACTGAAGCATGAGACTTCCTCCATTCAAGGAAATATTAATTTAGCCATTAAAAAATATTTAAAAAATATTCTCACTGATAAAGACACTCAATATATGCTATTATGAAAAAAGGATAAGTACAGATATTAAAATAATGTATAGTACATCCATTAAACTAGAAGGCAATATATCAAAATATGAATAACTTACTGTCTCAGAATGAAATTACAGGGATTTTTTCCTAATACTTCTCTTTATTTTCCAAATTTCTATCCCAGGCCATATTACCTTTCTAATCAGGAAGGGAAAAAAGGCTTTTCTGGTTTTGTTTTTGAGTAAAACAAGAAGCTGTAAAACCCGGCCTTCCTATGGGTGAAAACTTACTAGCACTAGAGCGGGGAGGGACCCGAGAACATACCACTCCTCTCTCCCAGACGACACTCATGCGGTCCTGCACGCCGCTCACTCCGTGTGGGATCTTGGCGAAGTCCTCCTTGCCCATAGCTTTCTGCTTTGTGGTGAAAGGCCGGTGATCTGATGCCACAATGTTCAGAGTATCACTGGATAGAAAGAAGGATGTGACCAGTAAGGGGAAGGAGGCCAGGGTTCCAGACAGTAGGGACAGGTACAAAGAAAAAGCTTTTGCTTGGGAGTGAAGCAAAGCTGATTCTAGTCTCAGCTCTGCCACTTAGTAGCTGTATGGTCTCTAGCAAATTACTTAATCTGTGTAAACCTCAGTTTCCTCATCTGTAGAATGTGAACAGGCACTGAGTGTGGCCCAGACTACCAGGATCTCAGGAGACATCAGTGAGAGCCTTCACGGTGTGGACTTTTAGAAGTTAAGACAGTGGGCAAAGAAGAGATGAACTTAGAGTTTGGCTAAAGTGAGAGGTTATAAGTGGTATTACTACCACAGAACTGTATGCCAACTCCCTCTCACCTCCTCCCTCAACCCCCAGCAGTCCCTACTGTCAACAAGCACGTCCTTGGAAAAACGTTCACAAGTTTAGTGTTAAGCTTTGCTAAACAACTTGAAGCCACAGCTTCCCTTGGATACGGGGTCTCTAACGGCCTAGAGGAGAAAGGAGGGACAAGACAGAAGAGATTAATAAATCAGCAATGGTATGCAAGTCCCCCGGCTCATCGCTGCCACCCCCTGCCTCCATCCTTAGGTGGTTACTGAGGCTGGCTCCTTCACAGGACTGCAGGAGGCGTGGCATTGTGGGGCTCCCTAGGGGCTCCCAGGTTAGCTATGCACTCAGGGCAGAGATTTATGAGGGTGAGAAGGTGCACATGATGGAAGACCCTCTGCCAAATGAGGGAGAAAGACAGCCAGCCCACATTCAGGGATCTCGTTGGCTCAGAGGTGGTGAGGGGTAGAGGGAGGCAATGCTCACGTTACCCAGCCCAGGGCAACCTCAAGAGGGCTGACCGTTGGAGGGCAGGGAGGGGCCTGACTGGAGCATGGAGGTCAGGTGGGAGAGGGACCACACATGGGAGCCCTGAGAGTATTTATTCTCTTTGTAGGAGGCACCAAAGCCTTGTGAGAGCGTGTTGGCCATCACCTCAGCAGTGCCCACGTCAGCAGGGAACTCTGGGAGCAGAGGGCATTATTTGGCTTGGGGAGAGGCCTATTCTTAAGGCTCTTAGGCAATTTCAGGTCAGGCTGCAAATAGGGACGTCTCCAGTGGGCATCTGGCAGGGTTCATCTGTCACAGCTCTTGCCAAATGACCAATGTTCTTGGCCAAATCCACAGTGAGATGACTAAGCTCTTCCTGTGGCATGGCTGGTACCTCCCTGGGCCAAAGATGCTGCTCTGGGCCCTCTCAGAGACAGCAGGAGGGACTCTTCCACAGAGCACAGGGTTTGTTCTAGGGTCCCTAGGCCTACAAAACCCACCAGGGTTTCACTTTATCCTCAGGGGTCCTCCAGACACCAGAGCAGGGCTCAGATCAGAAGTGCCCATCAGTCATGGGCTATGGGGTCAGGGACCCCAGGAACAGGGGGCTCAACTCCCATTCTTCATCCAGCCAGTCTTACTGAGCCCCCAGCTTTCTAAATGGTCTCCCTGGGCAGGTGTGAATGAATGTGGCCATGTTCCAGAAGGGCTTTTAAGGACTCCCAAAGTGGCCCTGAATCTGGGAGATATGAAACACCTAACCATACTCTTTTAAGTTTAAAACATGACTGGCTTTGTTAAGTACTTAACATTTTCCATGTTTAAATGAAAAAAATCCTGGTACCTTCAAGAAATCAGATTTTAAATAAATAACAAATCCTTACATCTATAGACTGCACTTTTTACCCTGATATATCCTAAGAAATCATATCTTTAAGTAAATCATTATGAAGCAGCTCATATTTTCTTATAGGAATATGGTAATTGGTGTCTAGGTTTTCTATTGAGTATTTTGCATAATATCAATTATCACCAACAATGTGTCATAAAAGCAAAATTACAGTAGTTATAAATTCCTATAAATAGCTAAAATGTCACAACTATGCTCCAAATTCTATAAACTTACGCACATTTACGATATGCACTGATTAAAAAAAGGGATTCAAACAATCTCATCAGAGTTCACATGAAATTATAATTCTATTTAAACGAAAAGAAATTAAGTAATTTAAATACATTTGACAAAACAGGCTAGATATAAAAACTTAAATCATTCAATTAATAATACTTCCCCCACCCTCCACCAGCCTACTTGAATTTGTTTGAATTTGGGCTCTGTAATTTGGATAGGCTGGGGCATTTACTGCCTTTTTGTTCTTTCAGTAAATTTGCCTGTGGCAAGTTGAGGTATTTCAAAAGTTTCTTTGATCTTGGAACCCAGTCCAAATTGTTATAGTGGGTTCTGGATATTTGTTTGTTTGTGTTGGATTGATAATGATGAAAAGGAGGCTGGGTCTTCCCTAGAAAAAGCATTTTTAAAAATCAAAGCTGATCTAGTGTTTCTGTTTATCTTCTCTTACTCAATTTATTTAAATCTAAGAGCTGCTGCTGTTTGGTATCACAGCGCAACTATGGGACAGAACAGATTCACAGCCACTGTGCCGGGGCATATACTGACCCTCCAGGGGCCACCCTCAACACAGGCCCCCACTGACTACACTCCGCAGGTGTTCGGAAAGCTAGATGTTGAGTGAGAATTTTCCAGTTGTTGGCAACCAGGACTGAAAACTAAGCACATGGATCAAATAAGTGTCCCATTATCTAGAGACAGACCTCCCCCATTGGGGCTGGTCACTTCCCTCAACTCCCCAACTGTCACGCTAGAAGCACATCACCACCCCCAGGTCTATAAAAGCAGAGGGCAGAGAGGAGATAGCAGTGTAGGCAGCCTGGAGAGTCCTGTAGTGTTGCTCCCCTTCTCATGGGATGAATGGTGCTTCCTTACTCTTTTCCCTGCCAGTCTATCCCAAAGGCTAGGCAGGGACATATCAGGAGGCTCACCAAGAACAGAGGTGACAGCACTGGGCATGGACTGGTGGGCCTGCCTCTGAGCCTCTGGGTGAGGACAGCCGTTAGGATGCGGCAGCTGACCTCCCAGGGTAGGGGATGGCAAAGCTGCGTGAGCTTCCTCTGAGCCCCAGATGCCATAGGAGGTGGCCAGGCTTCAGCTGCCTTGCCGAAGTCCTTGATAACAGGGACAATGCTAGGTCTGGGATCTGGCAAGGTGCAGGTAGAAGAGATCAGGCCGGCATCCATCTCCTGTGTCAGGGAACTGCGTGAGGGGGTCACAAGGGAGCCTCCACTGGGCATGTGGCCTGCACAGGGAGGTCCCAAAGGCCAGTCACTTTCTGCCTGTGAAATGGCAATGACTTAGGCAGGAGGGCAGATGTGTGCTTGGTATGGAGGGGTCACCACCCACGAGCCGGCATGGTGGCCAGAGGAGACTGTGAAACTAGACTGGGTTTTAATAACCTTTCTAAAAAGGAAAGAGAAATCAGGGCCTCTACCCAAGATGTCACTGGAGGAAACGAAGAAGTTGCAAGCAGTTACCGAGACAAAACAAAATCTGTTCGGGCTGGTGTCCCACTGAATTCAGACTGTTCATGAAACTATTTCCTAGATTCAGATCTAATGGGAAGAAGTAGTGTTAGAGAAAGAGGAGTTGGAAAAAAGGAGATCTAGAGGGAGAGTATGAGGGGAAAGAGGGTGAAAGTGCAGAAGAAAAATGGAAAAGGGAAAAGAAAGATGGGAGAAACACTGAAGGAGAGAGGTACACGCAAGAGAGAAAACCACATGTGAAACCATGAGGGGTGGGGGGCTGAAGAAGGGGGCAGAAAGTTTCACATATGTTCCAGGGTAAGTCAGAGGCCACGTCCTACAGCTCCCAGTGGTCTTTAGTGTAAGGTAACGATGTCCTTTGACATTATGAATAATCACTATTCATAATTTTATATATGTTCTTTACTCTTACACCTCATTAGCTCTCACTCCAAATCAAGTGGCCATAGCAGCCCAATGGGATGACACTTATCTGATGGGCTCTGGAGAAGGTTACAAAGCTAAATCATCCTATGGCACAATGAAGTCAAACCCAAGGCAGATCTGGGGCCTCTGCAACATCACCTCAAGGATCTACCAATTCCTAGAGTGGCATGCATTATGAGCTAATGATGTGCGGTGTGCCACGTGGTCCTGAAACACCCTTACTTGGCCAGCAGGCTCATGAGGTAGGTTGAGGTGTTGGTGTCCAGTCTCAGGGGAGGCACAGTGACATAAGCAGCTGCATGGGACCAGTCCTGGTGGTAGTAGTGCAAGCCTGTCAGCGTGGCATGCGCAGTGGTGGTCTCTGCCAGCACAACCTTCCCTGGAAGAAGCATTCCAAAAATCAAACCATAACTTGGAAGGCACACAACCTGAGATCACTGGTTTGAGCCTCTCATTTGGCAAGTGAAGAAGCTGGAGTCAGAGAGGACTCAAGGTCACTTGGGCATTTGAGAGCACAGCTGGATTCAAGGCCAGAGTGCTCCCTACCCCTATGCTGACTCCAGGCAAGGAGAACAGACGGGCAAGGGCACTGAGGCAGGGCAGCACCAAGTGGCCTTTCGGGGAGTGGGGTTTAGCTGGAGCTCAGGTGCTGCCAGGGCTGGCCAGATGGGGGCTGCGAATGCTAAGGGCAGTCTCGACTGCTTTCTGAGCTGTTGGGGGCTGTGAGCACCTTCTGGAGAATCACAGGGGGTGGGATCCAGTCAAGAGGCTGGGACAATGGTGCGGGTGAGACACCCAAGGGGCTTCCAGGAGGGGACAGGCAGGAGGCAGGCCCTAGACAGCAGTAAGGTGAGAAGGCTAGAAGCCCTTGCTCCTGATTTACGTGCCTGGGTTTGTGATCGTGACTTTGTTTCTCCTGTTACCAGGACCACACTGGCACCCTGAGCTGGGCTGGGACTACAACCAAGTCTAAAGCTTTCGGGTGTTGCCAGGTTCTCAGCAACTGGAGGCACACAGGTGACCTGGGGGCTTGCACTGGGTTCCAGGAGGCTGGAAGGGAAGTTGGGCCCAAATGCTGTTATTGCTCCAGGGACTTCCCAGGCAGCCCCTGAAATGTTGCTTGGAACTGGTCCAGGATTTCATGTTGGTTACCAAGGCAACCACTAGTAAAACCCAAGAGGCCGAAGAGATACCAATTAATGAGTCAGTTGAAAACTTGGAAAATTTTACCAGACCCGGGAGAGGCGACAGACGCTTCTGTAAAGCCGTTATGCATACATAACAGCCAGAGAGGAAAATACTCTGGTTCTAACAGACTGAACCCAGGCTTGCGCAGGGTATTTCTGAGAAAGATGGGGAGAGAAAAGGGAAGGGTGGCCTCAGGAGCTGGGGCAGGGAGTGCACTGGGCTGGCAGCTCCGTTAGGCTCCAAGCCCACCACACATGTGCATGTCCATCCTGGCAAAGGGCTCACCTTGCATCTTAGCAGCTGCAATAACATCACCGGCTGAGATGCTGGACACGTTGACCAGGTAGATGGGACAATGAGTCTAAACACAGAAACATGGCGGGAAGGAGAGAGCATCAACCCCATGAACCTACCAAGCATCAAGATAACCCGGGCCAAATCAATCCTGGCCCCATCATTTGCCCCTGCTCTCCCCAGCCCCGCCCTCAGGGTGCTGGGCTTCTGCCAGGAACCCAGGGCTAGTGGCCGCAGCACAAGCTGCAGGCTGGGGAAATGCACGAAGCAAGGAGGGGGCAGGCAGTGCCTGGCACCAGAGCCCAGCAGGGGACTGCAGGCAGGGTGTGGAGGGCTAAACCTCACATTTTCTACTAGCTGACACCAAGATTATTTGCAACTTAAAATGAGGGACTATTTTAATTTCCTGTATGTAAACATGATGGCCTAGAGACAGTTGTATATTACGTACCACCTCTAAAATGACAATGCCTGCCAACTGAGGGCAGCTTTATCAGTAGGCAGAATGTACCCTGAAAAAATAAAATACACAGGGTTCATCGTTCCAAGTCTATACAGACAGGACTAGTCTTGCAAATGGACCTTTCGATTGTAATACTGATTAGCCTTTCCTCTACTGAGCTGTGTGACCATGGCCTATGGCTTAACTTCTCTGGGTATATGGTTGAGCTAAAAAATGGGGAGCTGCCCTTTTGTTGTTCGATATTTCCTTATTCTGAGGTAAGCTTCCACTGGAAGTAGTAACATGACTACTGTTAAGACAGTAAAAACAATGTCCTTGTCCAGACCCCAGACTTACAAAATGCCAACGGGAAATCATTTTCCCAAATGTTATTCTTCCTGAAGCCTTCTTTGCCTATCAATTAAGAGGACAGAGGGTTTAGGGACTGGCCTGACATTTGCTGTACTTGGTATAAGTTCACTGACTAATTCTGAGACCAGCTGGACCTCCAGTGCCTCTGCTTGGCCCTGATATTACTACCACCATATCCTCATGTTCACATCCTCTGGGGTAGGCCAGGTCTTTCCAAAGGAGAGGTTTTTGAGCATCAGTGACCACTAGCAGGCTTGTTAAAACACAGATTGCTGGGTGTCAACTTCTGATGCAGTGGGTCTGCATGAGCCCGAGAATTTCATTTCTAAGTTTCTATTTATAACAAATGCGGCTGCTGCTGCTGGTCCAGGGACCACACTTAGAAAACCAGCTTTCAGAGACCATGCACTGATTATCTGACCAGATCAAACTCTTTAATGATGGTTTAGGAGAATAACCTTGGCATGGTGCTCTACTGTTTATGAGAGCTTTTCCTTTTCCAGAACCTTGCCCAGACCTTATCCCCCAGCCAGCCCCTGTGGGTGCAGCTGTGGTTGGCACTTCTCACAACCACCTGGTGAGAAGTGATATCCTTCGAATCTGCGATAACAAAATAGTCAATCAGAGAGGTTGAGTGACTTGCACAGGATCAAAACCTGGTGCTTGGTAAAGGCTACACCTCCTGCATAGTCCACACTGCATCAGCATGCCCCTACCCTGAGAGGGCTTCACCGTGAACCGCACCAAGCAAAAACTATGAATAGCCCAGAGGCAGAGGTCTAAATCATGGTTCTCTAAGCAAAACGTCTAACTCCTCTGTAAGAAACAGCACTTGTATTGAGGCTCTGTGGTCCCCACCTTGTCCTGCCTCCTTTGGGAGCCATTGCCAAATGTCCTTTGGATAAAATCTCCTCTGATATAGACCCAAGACTCTCCCCTTTAATTAACAGATGATGACAGTGATAACTCCTCCATCTGAGCACTGAAGCCAGGCTTGCCAGGCTCGGTGGGGTGGAACGGAGAGCTGGCGGCAAGGATTCCTGCCAGGCCTATGGGAATAACAGTGTTCATTCAGCAAACAGTTTTGGGATCCTGTGAGCCAGGCATGGTGCTGGCACCCAGAGAAGAACAGGACTACTGTACAACTTGAAGTTTCTGGTTTCTGATCCCAGAGTTGAGAAAGAGGTTTAGGGTGAGCCAGGGTCTACTTACCCTGTTGGCAATGGTAATAACGCGGTGAGTGGCTTCAGCTTCCAGCTGTGAGAAACAAAGGACAGAAGAAAGCAAGCTTCACCATCTCACCCAGGCAAGCCCACATCTGCTACAGAGCCCTGCTCATAGAGTGCTGGGAATATCCAACACAGAGCCAGAGGGCCAACTGCATCCACGGGGCTTGGCTAGGGCACTCATCTCCAACCACCTCTGCTCACCGGACAGAATCGAGGACTTAGTAAATAGACATATCCTTGCTGGATGCTACTTAAGGCTTAATTAAAGGCAACAAAAGCAAATGAAAACAGGGTCACACCTCTCCCTGGTTTTTGGTGTATTCTCTCCAAAGCACTGTAGCAAAGGAGCAATACTGACTGACATCAAGCTGGAAATTAACCTGGATCAGGGTTCCTGAACCTCAGCACAATGGACATTTTGGGTCAGATAATTTTGTGGGGTAGGGGGGCTGTCTCAGCATTGTAGGATCTTCAAGCAGCATCCTCACCTCTATTCGCTAGAGCCCTGTAAGTTGGGACAACAATATTGCTAGACATCACTTTTGGACAACATCTCCCCTGGTATAGACCCAGGCCCTCTGTTCTAATCCGCAGATGATGACCGGGATGATTTTCCATTGCTGCTGCTATAGTCACAGCCTTGCTCTTCCTTCCATATGACTTAACAAAGACCAGTCCTGTGCCCACCTGCCAACCACTTCTGTTCTCACAGGCACACTCTCAGCATTTATCCTGCTGAGTCTGGTGCATTTCTCTACTGACTCTCAGGTGCCCAATCAGGAGCTATATTCAAGGGGCTCTGAAAGACAGAGACACTCGGGGCAGGAGTGAGGCAGGCCCTCCCCCCACCCCCAGCTGCCCCACTATGAACGTGGCTCTTGGCTGATGGCAGTACCATCAAATCCGGTCTCCAGCTCCTCATCCCTCAAGCTTTCCCATCAAGTCTCTCATGGACATCCAACCACCACTCTGAGTTTAAGGCCTGGAAGAAATGGAAAAGAGCTTCCTCCTCACAAATAGTGGGGGATGTTTGAATAAGGTCAATGGGCAAGAAGGTATTTTTCTAACGAGGTCCCTCCAGAGCAGAATTCTTTAGTAGAGGGACCATGGGGGGTTTGTGTTGAAGCCCTGCAAAACTGGACAAGGATAAAAGCAGGGGGCAGAGGAGAGCAGGGCTTTTGATTATCATCTCAGAGAGTACTAAGGTGATGCGGAGAGAGCATGGACACGCATGTGCCTCTCATTTCTGGTAGGAAGAGGTCAAAGTTTTCCTCAGAGGCTCAAAATAATTTCATCCCTGAAATGCCGAGTCATTGGAATTTCTTCTACCATCTGAAGGCACTTTCAGTCTTTCTTTTCTTTCCTGATTCAATTTTGGGCAAAGCAACCCTGGAATGTTTACACAGTCTCCCCCAGATCCTTGAAATCAGAATCAAATTGTCTGCCCCAAGGCAACTCAAGGCCACACCAGCCTCAGAATGGAGGGAGGTGTTCCCTGGGAAGCTTCCACATGGGAATTTCACCCATGGAGAAAGTGATAGTACACAACTTTTATTTACTGATGTCTCTTGTATCCTAAAGATTCTGTGAACCCACAGGAAAGAAGGTGACAAAGGACACAGTAGGGCTTCCTCACCTCCTCCGGACGGCTGATCTCGATTCCTTCTGGGCCTGTGATACCCAAATCTAGTGCCTCCTTAGCACCCTGAATAATAGCAAGAGAAAGAAAATTGAGAGAATCAGAGAGACACAAGAAAATAATGAACCCAAGGGACAATAAAATACGCTAGACACAGTCCATTCCAATAGGCTTGCTAAAATTTTCTCACTTCTATAATATTCATTTTCCAAAGAGGGCAGAATAACTACAGGGCCCCCTCACAGCAAGGCTCTCCTGAGTTTCATTTCAGAACAACTGAGTAACTCCTTTCCTCTTAAAAATGCATTTCCGTAACTAGCCAACAGGCCTGGGACACAAAAGACAAACATTCTTTACTGACTGAGAGTCAGAATTTCCCACTGGGTATCTACTCAAACCTCTGGCTCCAGCAACACCTAGACTGGCCTTTACCCCAAGCATCCTATTTAAGACCAAGGGGTACAAAGGGGCTTGTCTTTCTTGGGGCCAGTGGGTAGATCTCTCTAAGATCTCAGCGCCTCTGGAGAGGTATAAGAAAAGTAGAAAGCTGACTCTTGGTTATTCTGTATGTCAGATCTTATTAAAAATATTTCTTAGAGGCATTCTAAATTCTTTTGCTATACTGGAATTTCAATATCCTATTTTAGAACTAAGATATCATCAGTGAGGACTTAGCAACCCTATAAAGACATTTATTTTTTACAGACAGTAGAAAACTTCGGATTTTCTAAAAGATTGGTCACCTGGGATGTTACCATCTCACACTTCCTTTTAGAACTTTTTTTGTCTCAAACTTGTGGGGTGGGTGGTGGATGGTCGGGAATCCCCCTGGCAACTGTATCTCCACTGGCGCCCTGGCTCCCCTTCCCCAACATTCTCTACTGCCTTGCCTCAGCCACGAGCTCCCCATTTTCAGCATGGACTCGGGCGATTGCTCCAATGTCCTTGCAAGCGTGCAACACCTGGTAGAGCTCACTGTCCCGAAGCATATACACGTCCTTGTAGGTCATGAACATCTGGAACGAGTTGACACCCTTTTCCCTCACCAGTGTCTCCATTTCTGCTTTCACCTGGAGAGCAAAACACAAAGGCAGTGCCATGTGTGAGGACAAGTGTTCAAGAGGCTGACTGGCAAACGCTGGTCCAGCTTAGAGATGAGGGTCAGAGGAGTGATCATATGACCCTGCAACCTCGGGGTAGCTCACTCTCCTCCCACCCCATGGCTGCTGTGAGGTCAGGTGAGCAAATGGATGCAGAAGTACTGTGAAAATTCTCAAGCAGGACACAATTATAGGAACTATACTGTTATCTTCTAGGCATGTTTCTCCTATCACATAGGCTTGTCCTTTGTTTCTGACTCCAAATCAATCTTATTGTTAAATGTGCCAATGATTTTTATTCCTATGGGCCTGTTCCCTGACTCCGTAATCGAAGCAATGTTATGAAGAAGGGACAATAATGCTAAACATCCAGAGACCCTGGGGAAAATCTAATTTAGGAATAAAGCAAAACTTGAACAAAGCTATGTGATAAAGGAGATTCATCACAACATTCCTTACATTAGGAAAAATAGAAGCAACATTGGTGAGACGATAGAAAATAAATTGAGATCCATATGTCTGACAGAGCACTAGGTGGCCACTGCACTGATGATCATGAAAACCATGCAGCCCAACAGAAAATGCTCACACTTGAGCAATTACTATGTAAAAAGCATGTATGAAAAAAAGACTGGAAGGAAGTAGCTAAAATAACAATAGTGATTGTGTTGGGGTAGCCAGATTATGCTTTCTTTCTTTCCTACTTTTAAAATCTGTAGTTAGAAAAAAATTATTATTATAAAAAGGAATTAAAATTCCAGATGCATGAAAGGCCCTACAACCTCTAGGGACATGGGATAGCTGGCCAGGCCTCAGTGTTGCTGAGAACCTGAGAGGATCCTCTAATTCCAGGCCAACCCCAGGGGGAGGGACTAGAGAAAGGCTTGGATTAGGGGTCAGCCACCCAGGACGGTGTCCAAAATGGACAAAACCTCATAAGACAAGGGATGGTTGGCATTCAGTGTGGTCTGCACCTTTAGCCTGGTACCAGGAGGAGGATCTTCATGGTGTGAGGTTTGGGGGACTCCAGGGCCTTTTGTATAAGAAGGTTAGAAATAATGGAAGAGACTGGGGACCCTACACTTAAGGCTAAAATCCCAGTAAAGTACAGTGAGACCTTTAATTACCATCTCAGAGGGAAGTCAGGCCCTTTAGACCAGGGTTTACAGCTGGTCTGTAATAAAAATAAAATAAAATAAAAATGTTTGTTTATTTTTATGATTCCAGGGCATGCACTAAAGTATTGGCACATGGTAATTAATAAATAATTGATGAAAGAACAAATATCCAGACTGCTTCCCTAAGATAATAAGCATTAGAACTTCTGAGAGGAAGCAAAATCTAAATGCCTGGATATCTGCTTTCAGGAAGAGCAAGGAGGTGGAAATCCATGGAGAGGGGTCAGGACTCTGGGGCCTGGGGCAGCGAGAGGACAGGAAAACCAGGGGCCGGGGGCACAGAGGCTGACCTGAGAAAGGACTCAGCAGCAGCCAGCCTCTGGGCTCGCCGAGCAGAAGCTGGCCCCTGGAGGAAAGAAGTGTCCCAGTCCATTTTTACGAGTGAGCCAGGATGAGACCCTCCCTCTGAGACCTCAGCTCCGTGCTGTCACACCCAGCACAAAATGATGTGACCCTCAGATTCTGACCCTTGCTCAGCCTGTCCTCAGCAGCATCCCCATGGGTGTGTCAGTGGCAACTAACAGTAAGCATCAGAAGACACTGAAAGCCTTGTGATCAGAGCAAGGAGCCAGCACTCCCGAGGCCTCTGGTCTCAGATGTTCTGTGTCTGCTAGAAAACTGGCTCTTTACTTTAAGTAGAGCAAGCCCATTCACCTTCTTATGGGATCACAGTGTTTTTTCTTTTGGCGTTTGGGGGAGTTAGGGTGGTGGTGGGCAGGATGCCCACAGCTGTGGGGGAGCTAGCTCTAAAATGGCCCCTTTGCCTAAAAGGGCATTTGTTCTTTCGGGATTGTGCCCAGCACCATTACCTTTGGTGCCCACCAGGTGACCCCCACGTGGAGGGCATAGTCGCAGCAGACCTTGGGGTCAGCCAAACCCCGGCACTTCTCGTAGGCATCCACGAGGGAGGTCTCCTTGTCGGGCAGCACGTGGCCAATGATCATGGTGGTGCCTCCAACTAGTGCTGCCTGAGAAGATGGGAAAAACAATCTGTTACATCTCTTCTCACACCCAAGACGCTGATGTGGGGAGACACAGGGTCTGGACATTTAGAACAACCCCAAACCCTACTGAACAAGAGGCTATGAGACCCAAATGCAGCAATGTTTGGGAAACTGTGAGGAGCTGGACATGCAGAAGCTAGTGAGTTCCGTTCATCATTCCTGTGGATCCAGCATGCAAACCTGCTTCTTCCTCATCCTGGCTTGCAGCCCAGTGCTTGGGAAACTGCTCAGTGTGGTACCCAAGCCTCAGGCCAATCTCTATTTCCCAATGGATAGATCCTCCCATGACTTTTGACCAAGTTGAATACAAAGATGACATAATTAAATGTCATATTGTACCATACTATATAATATTCTATGTATAATATTTAGTTACACATATGTATTTAAGCCACAATGAACAAAATGTTATTCTGGGTATACTGTTTTGTTTTATTCTCTCACATTTCATGAAACAATTTTATTCAAAGTTTTCATATGCATCTTCAACATAAGGGTCTCTGTTTTCAGTTTTTCCAAGCACATTAACTTCATTTTCATCTATCTGGTTTGAGATAGAACACTTTTTAGTCCTTGGTGATTTATCAGTGAAAAATTACCCTACTCATAATCTCCATGAGATATCACTTAAAAAGAAATCTTTAAAAAACCTTACATGTAATCACAAAGTATACCTCCAGAAATAATTATTTAATCTGTATTAATAATAAAATAATTAATGGTTTAATCTGTACTAATTCAATAATTAAACATTATTGTTAAATTGAATAAACATTTAATATTAAATAAATAATTGTTATTAATTAAATATTAAATCTGTATTAATTAAAGATCCTCCCAACACACACACTTTTTAGAACCACTTTTGCCAGGAGACCTCTACAAACTTCCAAAACTAGTACTGACCAAAGGCTGTTCCAGATTAAGTGTTTTCCCAAATAAAACTTTATTAAAATAAAATAATTGAGGGCTCCAGAATATAAGAGACTTAATGAAGGCTCTGATAAAAGGTGACTCTTTCTCTAACGGGTAAAAGTTTGGACAAACCCTGTCCTATTTGGGTCCTTACAGTGACTTGGGATCAGCCCCAAGTTTGAGTCCCAGCTCTGCCACCTCCCAGCTGGATAACCTCAGATTAGGTTTTCTAATCATCTTCTCTCAGAGATGCAGAAACATTACCTATCTGATGGAAATAGCTTCCTTGATGGATAGTTGGGAAAGTCAAGTGAAACATCACTAATAAGGTGGACTTCGTAAAGTGTTGTCCTAATGTGTGTGTTTAATTATTCAGAACTTAGCCTTTTATCTCTGTTTTCTATGTGGGAGAAAAACAGCACAATGAACTTGTCTTAATGATTTCATGCTTCTCTATTCAGTTAAATCCTTGATCACAAATCAAAAATATTGCTGGGGAATAAGGGACTGAAAAAATATTAATTCAGCAGTCAAATAGCAATTAAAATGAAACTCCATGCAACACTGGTTCTCCATGCTGACCCTGGCTGGGCCAGTGAGATTGTTTCCCATGTTGTCCTGGGAAACTTGCACAGCTTAAAGCAACCAACAGAGGGTGGCAGTTCTGCAGCACACACAGAGGAACCCTTACCGGGAGGCAGAAAGGCAGATTGTAGCTTTCTTAACTGGCTTCTGTTCCTGATTTGGCTAGATTGTGTCAGGCTGATTCATCCGCATAGCAGGTGGCTGTACTCTATTCTGTCCTGAAACGCATTTCTTGCTTTTTACCCATCTATTATTAGGTGTCTAATATATTGGGATTTTACAAACTAAATCAGTTTATTCTTCTGTAGTTCTAGATTGCTTTCCCTTGCACTCCCTCAGTATGTCTATAGCCTTGGATAGAAAAAAGGGAACCTGGAAACAGTAGTGAGAAGAGACAAGACCATTCTTATGATCTGTGGATCCTAGAGCAAAGTACAAAAAGAGGTCCACATGCCAAATCTCTGAACAGTTCATAGTTACAGAGCAAGCTAACAACCTGTTAAACAGATTATAATCTATACTTCTACTTTGACAAATACATTTTCATAATGACTGAGAATACCAGACTTGGATTTAGAATTCTCCCAGTCTGGGCAGTTCTGAGCTGCTCGGCAGGGGGACTTTGGCCTTCAGCCTCTGCACTTGCGCCCCCGCCCCCCAGCACTGCATTCATCTTGCATTCAAGCTCTGCTCACCCCCTGCAAAATGCTGCCCTTTGGCCTAGTGTGCACACACTGGGCTGGCCCTCCAGGACACATTCGGGCTTTGTAGGCCCTGCAAGTGCTCAGGGCCATTTGTCAGGGAGTCCCAGGGACACAGAGTATGGTCTGGGAGTGGGATACTGGGCTCTGGGCAGACATGGCCTCTTGGGTCTGCATCTAAATATCTGTAATAATGACTTCTGCTGTTTCCCCAGGCCTTAAAACAAGAGTTTCACAGGATTGGCGAACACTTCCCCACTGCAGGTTTGGGATCCTGGACCAGAGGCTGGATGTATGAACCCTTATTTCCTCTAAGGCACACACAGAGCTGGCTTTTTGAGTTTGTATGATTCCTACCCATGGGACGAACGCTGACAAGCTCAGTCTCCATGGGTATGTGATATCATAGATGAGACAGGCCTTTCCGCTATCAGCCTGCACAAAACAGGCTTATAGAAATCAACAGCAGAGTGAGACCCAATCCTGTTCCTAAGGCTTTCAGAGGATATGTTTGCAAATATGTGACTGTGACTGTTGAATGTTTATAACTGTTTTTATGCAAAAATGGTATTGGTTAAGCAAGCTGTGGACCATGTTTAATGGAAGTGGATAGAAATGATATTCAAAGAGGCTAAGTCATAACAGGGAAAAAGGGTGATGCTGTAATGAGTGAAAAAGGCAGGATTCAATATGTGTACCCAAGATGCTTAGAAGTATGTTTAAACACACACACACCCACACAAAGAAAAAATGGGAGGAAATGTACCAAAACATTAACAATGGCTGTTTCTGGGTGATGAGATTCTGAGTAATTTTTTTTTTAATTTTCTGAAATTTATTTAATAGAATATGTTACTTTAATAATATATATATTACAAAATAAATGTGGAAGAAGCTAAAACTGTTTAAAATGTAGTTAACTGCTCATTTGTTTAAAATACTCTTTTAAAGTTATGAAACATTTCAATCATATGGTAAAAGTACAGAAAATAATACAGCACATACCCATGAACCCACTAGTCAAATAAAACAGATGTTAACTTTTGCTGTTCTTTAAAACATTTTTTAGAAAATGAAATAATGTATTTTCGATAAAGCCCGAGCCCTCCACCCTACTCTCTTTCTTCTCCCTGAGGCTGATATAAATCTCCCCACTCCATGTTTTATGCTCTTACTATGTTTTGTGAATTTAAAAAATTTGCACAAATGTTATTGCACTGTCCATATCCTTTTGCAATGTGCTTTATTTTATTCAACTCAAGATTTATTTATGTGGATTTAGTTCACTCATTGTAGTTAATTCCTTGAATGAACACTCCTCCATGTATGTAATCATTTCTGAGTTCATGGACTTTTTTTATTAAGGTATTATTGATATACACTCTTATGAAGGTTTCACATGCAAAAACAATGTGGTTACTACATTTACCCATATTATCAAGTCCCCACCCATACTCCAATGCAGTCACTGTCCCTCAGTGCAGCAAGATGCCACAGATTCACTGTTTGCCTTCTCTGTGCTACACTGTTCTCCCCGTGATCCCCCACACCATGTGTACTAGACATAATATTCCTCAATCCCCTTCTCTGTCCCTCCCTACCCGCCCTCCCACACCCCTCTCCTTTGGTAACTGTTAGTCCCTTCTTGGAGTCTCTGAGTCTGCTGCTATTTTGTTCCTTCAGTTTTGCTTCGTTGTTATACTCCACAAATGAGGGAAATCATTTGGCACTTCTGAGTTCATGGACATTTACTACTACGTGCAATGCTTGAGCATTCTTGAGTACACCAGCATCATCTCCAGTCCTGACCACAGAACAGCTAACTCACTCGGGCCTCCTGCAGCCTGGTGGCTGACCCAAGCTGCCCATTTAACAACCTAAGCCTTTAGTCTTTACATAAACTACTGTCCAGTCAAGCATTCCCCACTGCATAGTGGCATTTGTTTTTATTGTGAATGTGGGACATTACATCACCATTAGGTTAATATGCATGTTAGGATCATTGTTTAACCGACAGACAGCACCGTTGACATGAATCATTTAGTGTTTCAAAGGGTTATCATTATTTGTTTTTGACTTTTATGACATTCTGCTGGGTAAATCTGGATTTATTTGATGCCCTATATTGTCACCTTCATCTCTTTCCTAAGAAAAAGCAATAGACATAATGGACATCCACTTTATGACACAGTTTTCAGGTATATACCTGGTGAGAACTTGTACTGGAACTCAAACCCATTAGAAATGTCATCTTTATGCTTCAGAAGTTCATTGGACCACTGTAGGGCACAAGGGGATTCATGCTGACCAGGGACTTGTCACTCAGCATTTGCAATGAAATTTCAGAAAACTGTGGTTCATTTGTTGACATCATGACATTGGTGAACAATGTATTGGCCCTTGCTGGTTTTTTCTGGACAAACACCTTTGGAGTGTCACTCTCTTACCATCTTCTACCTGGCTGCAGCTCCAGTCAGGTTTTGCTGAGTTCCCAGCAGCGGTGGGTTTTCCCTCTCCCACCACTACCCTTGCCACCTTCCCAACCCCCAAAAGAAGTGGCTTCTCCAAGGCAGAGGGCCAAAAGGTCAAACTCTGTGCTCTGCTGGTGAGAAGGAACTTGGGCCAGAATGAATTCGTGGGGTTTTTCACTGGGGGAGGGGGAGAGACTTCATGGAGCATATTTTCATACCCGTGCCTAGAAAAGGGCTGTGATTTGGGACAGGTGATTGGAATCAGAAAGGCAGGATCTGCTACTATGTAGCT